TGGTGGATGCCCCATCCCTGGAAACATTCCAGGTCAGGTTGGACGGGGCTCTGAGCAACCTGATCTAGTTGAAGATGTCCCTGCTCATTGCAAGGGGTTTGGACTAGATGACCCTTTAGAGGTCCTTCTAACCCAAACTATTCTATAATTCTATGAAACAAGGACAAATTTGGGGAGAAAAGAAGTGCAGAGAACTCTTGACAAGAAACATAGGTTGTAAAGTAATTGTAGACAGAACTGGAGAAAGACTTTTACAGCTAAAGTATATTTCAGTTTCATTATTCTGATGCACAGCACAGTGACAAAGTTGGGCAATGTTCAGGAGGTTGCCTTTCACTGACTTCTGCTTCTTTTAGGATAAAGCCCATGTGATCTCTACAGATCACTTAAAAAATGAAAAGTCCTTTTTTTAGTTGGTGATTGTAATCCAATGTCCAGCCTAACCATTTTCTCCTTCAGTCAACTGGCTTCAGGAATTGTTTGTCCGTTTGTTAATACCTCACTGGTGAAATGCATCTTTTGAGATGGGAGAAATCATCACATTAAAAGTGAAGTGAAGAAGCCGTGTTTGTGTAGGGGTGAATTTTTAAGGATGAGTGACTGATTTAGGTTATGGTATTTATATTTTGTTTTTACTTTTGTGTAAAGCCTTCCAATTTACTACACATTCCATAGGCTGAGGAATAAATACTGAAGCAACATTTTTGATAAAAAATGCAGAGACAAAACTCGATACGAATATTTTTAGCACAAGAGGAAACAGAATACTGATGATTAAAGGGATATATGTTTAAGAAAAGGAGCTAGGATTTAATTTTGTCATGCTTTACTTTGAGTGTAACTATAGTCTTGAAAAAATTTATTTTATGTTTGTTGCTTTCATATATTCTGCCTACAGCAATATTTGTAATATTGTTTTGTGTGAGATATTTTTCTCTCCATAGTTCTCTTTTACTCAGACCTCTTCACTTTCTAGCTGGCAAGTATGTTGTTGGGGGTGGTTTTGTATCTTCTCATGTGACATGAGGTGTCACTGTGCTAAATACAGTATACACAGTGTAAATAAAAACATGGTTAAAAGATTTGAAAAATTAGTAGAGGTTCTGAGTACTAGGAGCCCTATTTACTAAACTTTTCCATACCTTAGAGCTTAATAAAAGTTATTTTAAACAGAGCTCTACAATGAACTGTTGTTAAGAGTAATCTAGGCTGTATTCCTGAAGCTGATGTGGATTTATTGTAGACTGTTGGAGAAAAAAGTGCTTACACGCGTATTTAATTTCCAGAAAAAAAATTACCATAATGCCAGTAATGATCCATTAACAGAAGAATGCAATCTGAATGCCCTCAATTAAATATTAAATATTGTTAGGCAGGACTGTTTTTCTAATATATCATTCTCTTTTCTAAGCGTGGCACAGTAATTAGATGAGAGCTGTTTTCAAGCTCTGTTGGGAGATGGATTCTAAATACGTTTGACTGTTTGGAACTAAGATTATTTGTTGTTGAAATATGACTATAGGTAACTAACTATGAGTATTTATGTGAGAATTTAAGCAGTGCTGTGTATATAATAGAAATCAAGTACTGGGTTTGCATCTGCTCATGTACTACAGAGTGATGAAGTAATCTCGGAAACAAAGGCAAAACTGATTTTGTAATCTTCCAGTTGCGTCTCTGTCTTCCACATGCATTGGCCATGCAAAATCCAGGAAACTCAACCGGCATTTGCAGAATCGAATCATATTTCAATGCCAGTAAGAACTGATGGTGTTAGTCATAGTTTCAGGACGGATTTTTTTTTAAAAATCCACTCTACAGATTTTATCTAGGTGTTTTTCAGTACATTCTTTATTTCTGGCTTGATTCCGGCAGTTACTGTGATACACTTTTGTAGCTCATGTTAGCTTTTTTATATGCCCACGGGATGGTCTTTGCATGCAAATGAAGAACTCTTAATGATCTCTTGCTGTAGAAAAAATAGCCAAAACAAAAACACCCCTCAGAGAGGAATAGGTTAATTCCTCTGCCTTTTTTGATTTTTAAATGTGAAGATGAGCAAAGATGCTGTCTGCAGAAGAGGTAGCTTATAGAAACAGTAATTGTGCCACCTTTGTCTCAGTGTTGTGTTTGTACTTTTTAATGATGAAGGTAGTCTTGGAACATTAACAGCTTTTCCTGAGATGTCAGTTTTTGCTCAGGGTGAAGCCTGATGGGCCTATTTGAATTCATCTTTCCACAGTAAACTTCATAAGCTCTAGATTATTCCTTGTTCTTGTAATTGCCGTGTATTTTCTCCGAGTTTCTTTTAGGGTCAAGATTCTTTTAAATTAATGCTAATTATAGAAAATCTCTTCTGGCCTGGGGGGATTTCAAAGCCCTTTCTTGTTGACTTTCGTTACTAGTGTTTTCCTTTTGGCAACATTTATAGAATATGTTTCCCTCTTTATATGTAGAAATAGATAAAGGAATAATAGTAATCCTGTGGTTTTGTGAAATGCCCTTCCTATACCCCTTCTTAGACTGCAGTTGCATTTCATCACGAACGGTTTTCAAAGCTGTTGCTTGGTCTTCTGTTTTCCCTAAGTGCAAAGTCATCTCAAGAGCAATATATTTTAATTCTTCCCTAATTATTTTTCTATTTCAGACGATTCAGGAAATTAAAGCTGTTTTGGCAGCACAGTATATTAGATCTGCTATAACCACATTTCATGTGATGTGAGCTGGTCTAAATTCCCTTTATATTAGATTAGTGATTCTAGTTTAACATATAAGTATTTAGTATGCATTATAGCATAATATATTTAATTTAATTTGCTTTTATGCCTTACTGTACATTTAATAAAGCAATTATTTAACCATTTACTACCAATGAATTATACTATGATATTGAAATTAATATTGCCTGTAATTCATGAAGAGACATTAAGCAAGATGGAAGTATCTTCTTAAAGAAAAAGACACAAGGGCCACATTTAGGCCCTAGTACTGTGGTTATTTTGTCTTTCCTTCCTGAGTTTTGTAAGGAAATTTTTAAAGGAAAATTTAGGAAGTTGGCTTGTAAAACCAATGAAGTACACATGGCTTTCTAAGTGTGTTACTGTTCACTTCAGGAGACACTTTTGCATATAATATTTTGCTTCACTTGTGTATAGGTTGGGATTAATAAACTGCTCTAAATAGTATGTTCATCAGCATTTGGCCCAGTCTTGTTGCTTTTTTTCAGCAAGTCTTAAGCACACCAGGAGCTTTTACATACCAAGAGTGAAGGCAGATGAAGGTGCTCTCTCAGGCTCTGCAGAACCACAATAAGGTCAACTGGTTGCAGCTGCAAAACAGATGTCTTGTGTACCACGCACAAAGGCATTAAGATGTTGACTGATGATTTGTAAAAAATCTTACCACCTTCAATAGGCTTAGACTTCTGTTTTCAGTAGCATAAATCATATGGCTTATATGTCGTTAGTATACAGACTAGATGCCACTGAGACAAATATACTAATATTGTGCTTGGTTTTACAGTGGTCTGCATTTTCTGCAGAAGTAATATCTGTAAAATTGTTATAGTAAAAGTCCTGGTTTTTTTCCTCTTTCTTTTCCCTTTGCTACAGTATGGCTATCCAAGTTGACAAGTTCAATTTTGAGAGCTTCCCAGAATCCCCTACCGATGGGACACAGTTTGCGAATGCAAAGCAGCTGGAAGAAGAAAGGCAACAAGCAAAAGGTCTGGAGATTAACAGCAAGCTGGATATTTGCTGGAAAATTATATCCTTTCATAAATACTTGCTTTAAAAATATATAAATAGATGCCCTATGACACATTTTATTTTATAATTCAACTCACTTTATAACAGTGTTACTGAAAAGTAATTAGAACTATGAAGCTTATCATAATTATAGACTGTTTAAGGTTAATTGTGCTGTATATTATTTAGACGATGCTTGGGTCTTACTATAATGGCTTTTTCTGAGTCATTGAGCCTGCCACAAACCCTGTGTGTTTTTCCCAACTTCTAGGGAACTGAGGAAGTATAGTTAGGATTGATGAGTAGTAGTTTTATAGGGTCAAATTTTTCTATTCTCCCCCACACCGAGTAACTGAATCATGAAGAAATACATGAAGCTGGTTTTAGAAAATTTTCATATATTTAATTAAATTTGAGCAAATCAGAACATATTAGAATAATTTATTTCCAAGTCCTCTTTACAGATTTAGTAATATATCTAATATTGGGTAGCCTTTCTAAGGCTTGGAAAGGACTTGCGTGATGACTTTATTCATTCTAAACATAAAATCCCCATAATCATTCTAAATGTGGTAAAATATTGCCTTATGATTATTAATAAGAAATTACATTCAGTTTAGAGTTAAAATAAACCAATGGGGTTGCTGCAAATTTCATGATTTCCATAAAAAATCTTGTGCTTGGCTTGTCAAAAATACACTTTTTCATAATTTTAATCAGAGAAACGTTCTGTGCAGCCAACAGCCCCTCAAGCCATGTGCTGATACTCAGCATCTTCCAGGAGATTTAGATTTTTCACTCCGATCATCCTCAAATTCACGTGATAATGGGTGGCAGGAAATGAGAGAACAGTGGCAATCAAATCGTGGTTTCTCTTTTTGTACTTTTAATTCTACTTTTATCTAGTGATCGGAAATGATTTTTCATTACTAATTATTAAATTAGCTGCACAGGATTTGTCAAAGGCAACACTTGAGACATAAATGAGATTCCTAGTGCCTGGTTCCATCCAGGCTCCCTAAGCAACATTTCAGAAAGAGTTCCATTTATGCAAAAATGTTAATATTTAACCAGAACTCACTTAGAAAATTTCTGTGTTATGGAAAGATATAAATATTCTTTGATAGCATAGTTGAATTCTTACACTGGAATTGAATGCATAGTTGTAATAATTTTGTCAGGGTGTAAAAATACATCCTCATTCATTTCTGTTGCTGAGAGCATTGTTTACATCCATTCTGTGTTCTGTATTTAAACCTAATTTTGATACCAAAACTATCATGGCTGACATTGAAGTCAGTACCTTAGAAAACCAATAGAACAATGCATGAATTCCCTGTGTTAAATTCAGTGCAAGCATTAGTTTCTGTGTTTTTAAGATTTGTTATGAATGTTCTCTCAGTTCCTACAACTAAAAGTATTCTGATGAAAGGCAACAAATTGCATGTGTGCGCTGTTTTCCAGATTTCATGTCTCAAGTAGAGTCAGTCTTTCTCATCCTTTTATTTCTTACAGCAACATTTAGATGTGAACTAGTAACAAAAAATCGCTCCTCTCACTTCTGCTAAGTTTCTCAAACTTCGTTTCTGAGACATCTGTCCTCCCACCAGAGTAATTTGACGCTGGCCGGCAGAGTTTATTTCAGACATACCGATGGACAGACAGGGAGAAATGGGTGGATGGCTTAACTGCATAAGCCTTGTTTTCCTTCAGAAGCCAGCCTAAATGCAGCCAAGAGATAAAAAGTATTTGCAAAAATACAAAGGGATATAGTTGCTTATATTTCTTACTTTAGAAGGCGTTTTTGCAAAAGTCTTTTGAATGGTAAGACCAAGTGATCTCTTTGATGTCTACCATCTTTGAACTACTTTGAGCTCTCCAGCTACCCTTTCTCTGCTAAGTATATGCATGAGAGGAGAAATGTGTATTTTAGAGAACACTGTTAGACAATTTTGTTATAAGTAATCTTATTGTTTACAAGGGAAGGGCTGTATTATTTAGCTTGCAAATCCTTAAATTCTTACTGTTTTGGTTCATACCATATGAAACAGTCACATAAACAAAAGTTTCAAATTTTAAGTGTGTGGATTACATTGACTGCAGTGAAAAGTTTGTTACATGAAACTCCTGTGAGGGCCAAAAATAGTTCACAAAGGATGAGGATTTCAGGTTGTATGTATTGAAGAGCACCAGAAGTATTTTCCAGTATGGAAAGTCCATTTTCCATGGCTTTATCCACTGAAATATTCAGAGTTTCAAGTGATGAGATTTTCAGTGCTTTGTTTGTGAAAGTATTGTAAAACTTGATCGATTTTCTTATACTTTTTGGAGGGCTGAAGGCAGGAGGTAAAGACAACACAGCATATTATTCAATTCAACATTTGTACATTTTTGATAGAATGAAAATTATTAGGAAAATAGACCTTCTTATGGGAAAGCTTACTGCCATGCCATTTCAATTAAGAAAAATTCTGGAGTAATGTAATTTAGTGTATCTTTGAGATGATAGGTGTATTGAGATCATTTAAATTAAGAACATGCTGTCTTGTTTTTTAGCATGTTAGATGGCATCTGGTATCAGCTTAACAATTGGATTTTTTTTAACACAGGATTTGAACAGACGGAGCACATGTAGTATTAAGGTGGCTAGTATTTTCAAATTATGCTTCTCTTCATATTTTCTAAATATTTTTAAATACCATTTATATTTTCTTCAGGGACCTTCTATGCATTCTGACTTGTGGATCAAGGCATCTGTGCTGTGTCCTTTGAAGTTTCTAGAGTGCTGTGTCTGTTGCTGAGTGCTCTAAGATTTTCATATCTTTACTGATAGTTTGTACCTGACTTCTTCAAAATCTTGAGTTAAGAAATGTCATGTTACCCATGTGGAAGATGGAGGGCAGGTTAAACTTCTCTTTGTGGTCTTTCCACGCTCTGTGTTAGACTGATCATAGATTATTACTCTTCAGAGTATTCCATTGTTTTGTGCCATCTACATTTTGACTTCAGAAATTCAAATATGTTCAGAATTATTTCAGATAATTTGGTCACATTCAGGTGATCCTCCTTTTTAGAAGAGTAAACAAAGATTTATCAATGTTCAGATGTCGGAAGGGATTTTTCATAGGAAGCACAGAAAGCTTTGGCTAGGGGTAGCATCCAGAAGTTAGTTATGCTTCAGTTTTAGATCTGTTTTAGCTTGTCATAACTCTTGCTGCTGCTTAATGAACAGTCTTTCTCTGTACTCTAGCTTTGGGTGCCTCTTGTCACCCTCCTGATGAAGTGAGGTAAGAACATTGCCAGCAGACTTGCTAGTCTAAGTGAGTCTAGCTTTAAACTTGGTGCCTTGCAGGATGGACCCCAAAGCCTGTAGAGCAGTGCAAGAAGGGGGAAGCATGGGCAGGAGAAAGTGATGGGTTAGGATCTCTGAATCTACCCTGAAGTGTGATCGAGAGCCTATGTCAGATGCTTACGCCTGAACTTGCAAAAGCATGTGGAGGAGGAATTAGAGGTCAGTATGCAGTTGCAGAGCTCTGGTGTCGTCGGGATTTCAGAGACATAGTTGGTAGTTTGTGTGAACAGGGTGCACTGACAGGTGGGTATGGGTTATTTAGGAAGGTTGGGCAGAGATGCTGAAGTGCACAGGGAATTGTTAGGAAATGAGCGGTGGGCCAATTGAAAGCTTTTGGATCAAGAACAGAGAAGTCCAACAGGGTGATGCAGTGTGCATTTGTTACAGACCACCCAATCAAGAACCAAAGCTGGACGGATTCTTCCTTTAACAACTGGAAGAAGTCTTCCAATTGCAGGTTAGGAGATTTCTGGTGTACTTTAAGGACACTTTTTGTGTACAGGTGCTGGATGGCTTGATTTGGCATGTGCTGTGTGGGATCTGCTACTTGAAAATAACAAAGATCCAGTTAGAGGGGTGAAGTTTGATGGCAGCCTTGACTACCGTCGCCCCGAGATGGTAGAGTTTAATATTCCAAGGAAAGTGAGGAAGGCAAGTAGCAGGAGAATGACTCTGGACTTTAGGAGAGGAGACTTTGAGGAACTGTTAGGCAGGATTGCACAGGAGGCTGCCCTCAGGAGCACAGGGGTCCAGGAGAGCTGATGGACCTCTGAGGGCAACCTTCTCAAAGCCCAAGAGTTGCAGCACTCAATAAGGTACATCTGACTCTTCAAGCAAGGCATAGCACAGGGTGACTGTAGCAAGTTGCAGCCAGGTAAATTCTGGTTAGGTACTAGGAAAAATCCTTTTCACAATGAGGGTGCTCAGATAGTGGAACAGGTTGTCCAAAAGTGCTGTAAAATTGATGTCTTTGAAGATACTGAAAAATTCTGGTCAAGGCCTTGAACAGCCTGATGCATTTTCAGTATTTTCCATGCTTTGAGCACAGGGTTGGACAGCGACTCTGGAATTGCCTTTCAATATAAATTATTCTGTGATTTGTGCAGCCGCGTGGTGGGCTGGGTCAGAGAATGACTGTTGAAAACTAAACTCCTTTTCCTCCCCCCGTCTCCTGCTCTACCCAGGTTTGACTGCAGCCAGAAAAGTTTTCTAATGTACTGTGAAAGAATTGCTCTTTCAGTGAAATGAGACTATAGCATTTTGGAGTAATTTTCTTGAAAATATTCTAAACCTGGCCCTATCAGCCTTTGAAAAATGAAACTTCCAGTGCCACCTTAAATATCACGTTCCATTTTTAACTTTTCTAATAGTTAGACATTTTTTCTTACTTCAGCATTAATTGCTGTGATTTATATGAAGCCTGTCCTATTTGCAGTGTTTTTTTACGTTTTTGAAATTTTACTGTGTGCCCCTTCCTCGGTTTTTTGTTTTCTATATTTAAACCTAATTGCCAACATTTTTTCAAAGCACATTTTCTTTCAGTCATATTGCTGATGTTGTTCTGCAGTATAGCTATATTTTTCTCGATATGTGGGATCCAAAGCTGGAAGCAATACTTCAGGTGAGGTTTCTCGTAGAATAAAAGCTATACCTTCCATGTTTCAGATATGATGCTTGCCCTGAGAACTATTCTTGACTTCTTTTGCAGGTGTCCCATGTCTGATTGATTTTTTTGCATGTGGTCCAGCATAACTGACTGAATAATTATTCCCAACTTCCATTTATAGATTTGTTGATTCCTTCCAGGGTGATACTTGGAACTTTTCTTCACTGAATTTCATCTAAGTGATCTTCATAAGTTCCACTCATTTATTAGGTTTGTGAACACTGACATCTCTTCCAAATACATAAATTTTATAATGTTTTTGTATTTCATCATCTAAGTAGCCAATCAGAAGTTTGAAATTATTATGTATCGGACAGAACCTTGAGTCATCTCATTTGATACGCTGTCTGGGCTTGACAGCAAACCACTGATAACTGTTATTGAAATTTACTTTTCTGTGTGCCTATTCAGCTTTTGATGACTTCATCTTGATCATAATTAAGGATCTTCGGTTATGAGAATATTGCATGTTGTGGAACTTTTGAACATTAGTAAAGGTTTCCTTAGAAAAGCTTTAGTTGGATGGAGCTTCACATTTCCATGCAGCTTCTTAGCATCAACAATTGTTTCTGAAAGTAACTATTATATAAGAACCTCAATAACTGCCTGTAATTAGTTTTAATAATAAAGTACCACAATAATAATCAAGCAGAAAGCTTAAAATATGGCTAAGGCTACTGCTATAAGTAAACTATGATCATTAATCATTTAAATTTGTTTTTCATTAGTATAATTTTTATTTATGAACATTTGCTAATTTGTTTATGATTGTGTGCACGCTTCCACCTGTATTTATTTGCAAAGGAACTGAGAAATACGTTATTGAAAATAAATCTTTTTAGAAGGATGCAAGATGTGGAATGCTGCAGAGAGAAAAAACATGAGTAACTTTAAGATAGAAACCATTTTTAAAAATCTATTGTCTTTTTAAGCAGTAGGTTTTAGATAACATGCTGTGTTATAATTGTGGGTACCGAGGTACACATTAGACAATCAAGATAGTATAAAAGACCAATGTTTTCCTTGGGGAAATAACTAGCTAATTTAACTGTCATTCAGGTTTTCGGTATGAAACAGTTTATATCATGTACAATCTGTTGCTAAAGAAACGTGAAATAAAGGTGTCTACTGTGAAAAATTAGGTTTTAGTTTTTATTTTTTTTAAACAACATCTGGTGGTTGTGTGTTCATTGGCTCTGAGGCCTCCGTTGAAAGTCATTTGATTGTGGAAATGAACATGTCTTGAACTGCCAAATGTGAACAGTGGCACTGGAAACTGGAAGTCAACTGTTGCAGTCCTGGCTGATGTATGTGTTGTTAATAACAAAGATTTGAGTGTTGGAAGTGAGACCTGGGTCAACAAAGGCATTTAAGAATCTGACTCCTATGGAAAAGCAGGTTTGTAATCACGGTGAGATTTCAGCAAAATGCTTGGAGGATAAGTAGATAGATTCTGCAAGGTCAGACTTAACTTTGGCAGTCTGTACTTCCGTTTGTGCAATTTTTTTTGATGAATTTTAAATTCTGGACCTTACACTTTTGTCATTTATCAGGTTCCACTTTGAGCTAAGAATGGAAGGGTATATTGGCACCCCCTGTTCCAACTGCTTTGCTTTCATTGACTTCTAAAGGCTTGTCTTAGAAAATAGGCAAACTCTTGAGTTAAGCTTTTCTCTCTTTTTGCTCTGACATTTTATTACTGCATATTTTGGTTGCTTTTCATCTCCAGGGCAATGAGTTTGCTACAACGTTCGGTTTGTATTTGCACTATAATGAGCAATTTTGTATAATTGCGTGATATACAGTCAGGAGACAAAGATCAATGATATGAAATTCAATGCTATTTGTGTCCATTAGGAATGGTTAGACTATACCAACTGTACTGAGCTTCTCTGTCAACTTCAGTGATTTTTGTCTTTGAGTCTGCTTGGCAGCAGAGCTTAAGCTGGACTAGATGCTCTGAGGGCAAGATTTTAGGTACTGGTTGCATGAAGTACTTTTGGGATTTGCTGGCAAGGGAAAGCGTGTTTTCTGAATCGGTTTGTGCAACTTAGGCATTTACATTATGTTTGAGTCTATTTTGCCATACCTATGGGGCAGCCTGAATACTGCACTGAATGCCACTGGCACTGCCAGGTCTTCCTGTGGAGTAATCTCAAGACAGCGAGGTTACATTGATTGTAGAATAATTTAGGTTGAAAGGAACCTGCTCAGGTCTGGTATAACACCCTGCCCTGCAACTTGTGTCCATTGCCCCTCTTTGTATTACTATGCTCCTCCAAGAAAAGCCTGGCTCCATCTTCTCTATACCCTCCCACTATGATAGACAGCAATAAAATGTCTCCTTAGGCTTTCTTCTCTTCTCAAGACCAACTCTGGTTGTTCTCTCAACTTCTTTTCGTATGTTATGTGCGTCAGCTCTCTAATCATCTTGGTAACCCTGAGGACTCTAAGGTAACTCCAGGGAACTTTATCCTGTATTTCAGTGTCTTGAACTGGGGAACCAAAACTGGCCACAGGATTTAAGAAGTGTCGGTATGTCATTTTTTTATTAGTTGAGGTATAGCTATGCATACTTTTTTCACCCAATCTAAGAAGCACTTGGCTTCAGAAATAATTTGTAGTTGTGTTGAATTTGAAATTGCAAAATGCATTTTCCTTATGAATACACGGATCTGCTTTGATAGCATTTACCAATGCTAAAGTATGGAGAATCACCTATTTTATAGTCATTTTATAATGGTATCTGAGACATTAAACTTTCCATGGAGCTTTAAGCAGTAAAAAATTGTAATATTCCAGACACCACTGTGAGCCAGTTGTAAGTAAATTACAGTTAAGTTAGTTTAACGTTACAGTTAATGGCATCCACTCTGTTTTAAAACTTATTTTAAATACTGCCTTTTTATTAGTGTTTTCTCTCACATATTCCTTACATTAAAGATGTGAGAGAATTATTTATCTGCTGTATCTATGAAGTAATCCAAATTATGTAGTCTCTATCCCATAGTTTCGTTTACAGGAATTATTCTGTTGTGCTGGTGTCCTGAGTCTTATTTTTCAGCAGCAATGTTTTTCTAAGGTGGTATTCTGCTGCCTTCAGTTTTCCAAATAGGTGCTTTTTTTTTAATGGTGGTTATGGCTTTCACACTCTTTGGGGTTTGTGAATTCTTCATTCGTAGTCCTTTTAGGGGAAAAAAAAGCTATTTAAGACATTTTTCAGGGTATAATGAGAATTATTTAAAAAAAAAAATGGCAAGAATGCTATACAATGTATTGATTATCCTCTTCTATCATCTCCTTGAGCTCTTGAGTCTCAATCACTAATTGTTAGATCTCATTTTAATCTGAGGTTTCAAGACTTCTCTTTTAAATCTCCTGGAGAGCCTCTAAAATTATGTCCTGTGGTAGAAATTAGTTATCTGCAGTACCTGTTAATTTTCTTTTAAATGACACAGATGAGAACATACTTTATCAGTCAGATGATGTGCCTCTCTTTCCAGAGTTCTGCAGAAAAAGAACTGATCACATTTAGGAGCTGTTTATAACAGCTCATATATTCTTCTACTTTTTAAATCTATTTTTGAGCAAGATGGTTCCAGTACTTTTGGAGTTGTTGCTTGAAACCTTGATGAATCTTACTGGGAGCGTAGCCCTTAATTATTGTGGGACATCACTTCACCTATGGTTGTTTCACTTGAAGATTACAAAGTTGGGAAAGGAGTTTTTTCAAGTCTCGGAGAGGATCCTGCCTCTCTCTTGAATTTTGTTTCTGTGTGATGCTCCCGCTCTGGGAAAGCATGAGCTGAGCTGTAGAGACAACAGAAGTTTTGCCAGAGTTCCAGTGTAAGTACACAGACGCTCATAGGCTGTATGCGTGTCCGTGAAGGAGCCGTGCTTGCTCCACCTCCACTTCTTCCTCTCAACCTAGCCAAGATAGGGGCTTCTTGTGCTACAAAATCGTACCAAAGCCAGTGAATGCAGCTTTGCCCAACTACAAGATGGTGCTGACATTTGCGTGTGCTTCAAAGCCCTTTGTACTCAGTGCCTTTCTGAAATCAGGGAATTAGAAAAAAGAAATCCAGTGCTCTTCCTCTTACAGATCCATGTTATCTTGGTTGATGCATCACACATGAAAATATTATTAATTTGTTTAAATGGAAAATATATCTTTGTGTTACATTGGATATTGCCTAAGCTTTTATATTAACACTCGTGTAACCTGTTTTGAAGCCCTTTAAAAATGGAGATTCTGGTTTTCCCAACAGTTTATTTCAGTGCTTCGCTGTCCTTAGAGTAAGAACATTTCCTAATTTTTCTTGTTTCAGTCTGAGCTTGTTACTGAGCTCATACGGGAGTGAGTAGAAAGGGAAGCTTGCAGGTTATATGCCTGTGCGATTCTGGTATGATGTTTACCCTTGATAATGGCACTGTCACTGCATTGTCTAACATCCCTGTACCTCTACAGAACTGGCACCGAGACAGTCTTCAAAGCTATGCTAGCCCACATTTGTTCCGTTTTGTATTGCCTTATTAAATTTTATCCTTTTTGTTTTCAGATTGCTCTTAATTTGTCATTTTGAATTCTGATCCTGCACCACATTGTTACAGGTTCTGCATTTTTACAGCTTCCAGACTTTTTTCCCCTAGTGTTTTACTATGGTTCAGGTACATTTTACCTTTGCATCTTCATATTTATCACTCCTCAGTGGAATTAAATTTTTATATTCTGACAATATCAACTGCTCTAATTATTATTGTTAGCCAATTCATGGGTTAATAAACCAAATATGTAACATTAACCTTTAATGAATCTCTAGCTGGCAATTTTTTGCAATTGTTTGCAATAATAAAAGTTGTACATATTACATGCTCTTTTTTCTCTCTGAGACAAAATTTTCCTTAATTCCAATTTACCCTTCCTTGAAGCGTGAAGGGGAAGCAAGTGTGGAAGGCGTTCTTAATCAGCTGGTCCTGGAGCATCTACAGTTGGCTCCTCTCCAGTGGGGTGAGTAATGTCAAAATCTATTGATGATCTTTTTAGAGGATATGCTGGCTTGTAATTTTTAGCAGCATGAGAATGATGATGTTTTCATTTACTGGTAGTCTATGATACAGAAGAATTTGCTAGGAATTTTATTTTCCTTTAGATATTTTACTTAGCCGAAGATAAATGTAAAATTGATATCTATTTTAAGTATCACTGTTCAGTGATAGTGAATATAAAACCTGAGTACGCACTTTTTCTTGTAATTTGCAGTCCTAGTTGTGTTGTATGAGAGGTGGCTGCTACTTAATTTTCCCTTTGCCCGACAGTGTGTGTTTTTAAAGTAATTTCTCTAAAATATTTTCATATGGAATTGTGATATACTTTGTGGTATATTTCTTACCACGATCTAGACATTTGCATTACTAACTTTTTAGGTACAGAAAAAGTTCTTATTCTGTGTAGTGAGGAAGAATAATTTCTCTTAATTTTGCATTTAGAATTATGTTCCAACAATGAAATATTGAATTAATTTAATTTTGAAGAGTCGTAATAATGTGACTTCTGTCTGAGGTTCTTAATAAGGCTTGTTCAGAGGCTTTGGAACATGGGATGTTTTATCCCCAACACTTCTATGTCAGTTACAAGTTTCAGAAAATCTCCCCAGTTCATCAGAAAATTGTTTTCAAAGCTTTTGCTTGTAAAGCAAATTTAACTCTATACTCCTTGTTTTAATTAATTTGATGACCTAGAGAGGACCAATTTTAAGGAACAATGATCCATCACTATTGTCTGCGTTAACTATTAAAACTCAAATGACCCCCAACTCTAGGATTTGTGTATTCTTTTAAATGCTTATGTTTTTTCAAGCATGTGGAGCATCCTCAACCCGTATGTTAAAACTTGTAAGTACTTTGTTTATAGATGAGAAGATGAAAACTGGTAATGGTTTAAAGTTCTTTGTTATAAACGTGTTGAACTTCAACCATAAACATCTGTCTCTGAAATCATGCTTATCTGGCCTCTGTTCTTCAGAGGATTCAAGGATTTGGTGGCACTTGCTTGTGTGACTGGCTTTGGCTATGATTGCCCTGGTCCTCATCAGTAAAACGAGTGGTTTGTGTCAGATGGGTGTTGTGAGCTCAGACAGGTCACTTGAGAGTCATCTTAGTTCTGCGGAGTGCCATTGACCTTCAACACATTTGTAACCTGGGCTCTGTATTTGGAAATTTTCCCTTGACACTTTTGCATGGGAGATCGCCTTAAGGATGAAAACAGTAGTCTTTTTCTTTTCATATTTTCTTGGTTTTCTTCTTTTAATTTTCTTTTCATGCCAAATTCCACTATTTTCTTAGTAAAAGAGGCTTTTGGAATCATAGGATCGTACCTGGTATTCCTGCCTAAATGGTGATATTCATAGGTACTTTGATGCACTAGTTGGAAAATATGAACGTAGCATTGATTTACCTTAAAATGTGATTGCCTGTGGAGTTGGTAATTTCTCAGGTAGTTGCTTAATTCAGTTAAAGAATCACGGTTACTTTAGTTTTCAGAATGTATGAACACCAGACAAAACTCTGTGATATTCTCTGCCTCATAACTGCAAAATCTTTTGAAGTGCAATTTCTTGGCTGATTATGGCCTACATGTTAATTTTCTGCATTAAATAAAGCAGGGAAGGGGAGATCTTGTGGGATCTCAGATACTTGGTTTGCCACAACTTACATATGATATCTCCTTTTTGAAAGTTCTGGTGGCAGAAAATAGTGGTTTTGCAGAAGTCTGCTTTATTTTTATGTCTAAGATTTTCTCAATCTGAAATTACTATTGCATATATTATCTATTTTGTACAACACAAAAAATATGTCCATGTAGAAACTGTAGCTCACTGTGGAGATAATTGGAAAGGACATTTTGATTAAATGCCTGATTTTACTTGAAAACAAAAGCAAGAAATGAAAATTAAGAACAATGGAGAAATTTTAGTTTCTTTTAATTAACCATAACCTCAAATATTCAGCAGTTAAATCTTTGCTAGTTGGTTTCACAATGTTGTAGCCGGGTAGCCCTAGTCATCATGAGGAAAGCTACTGCGGTCCCTTTGGAAAGTGTACCATGGCAATACAGGCTAATTTTGGTTTTATTAATGTGCGAGATGGAGGAGGAATTAAAAGATTGTTTTTTTCAGCTTGGTAGGTGGGAGTAATAAGGAGTTGTTGGAATGTCTGGACAATGAAGAGTGTGTGTGTGCGTGTGTGTGTCTACACACGTATTTAGACAATGTGAAATGTTGTCTTTCGGAGTTTAAATTGTCTTTCAATGCTAGAATATATTTCCTATTCAACACTTACAGGCATGGTAAAGTGTTATGCGTTTTAAATCATCTAAGATGTAATGCGAGTTCCATTTTCCCTGTGGTTTTTTTCTTGGTATTTTGAAGTGATTGACCTTAACTATCTTGTAAGAATCAGCTCTTTTAGTGGTAATGGTCTGTACTGAGTACCAATAATGAGATAAACTTATGCAAGCTATCTTAAAAATTCTTTGACCATTAACATTTCTATTAAAAGAGAACTATAATCTCAATATATATAATTAATAAGGCAATAGTCTACAGATATTCTTTTCTCGTCCTGCCTCATCCAATATTTTGATGTCATTGATAAGAAGTTACTTTGAAAATACTGTAATATGGTAGTGTCAGATTTTTTTTTCTCTTAATTGTATAACGCTATTTGTAGTCACAGCCTTGCTTTGCTTTTCTGTATGTTAAGAATAACTTGTGTTTTAATGTGAACCCTTTTATACTAGTCATCATTGTAACATAATCTTTGCATATATTGGCTGAAAATTTTGCCTTAGTGTTATGCAATAAAATTTATTCCATGATTATTCAAGGCTTTTGCTATATTGATGGTTACATTGAAGGGTTTACTTTATTATAAGTGCTCACATTGAAACATGAATGAATATTTAACATGGTTTTGATTAAAAAAATGACTGGCTCTTGTTCAAATTTATAAAAGCTGGACTTCAAAATTCCTTTTAAATTTGGCATATTTAATTCATATTACAGTTAATATTACATTTCTAAAATTATAAAAGGATATTGAAATAATTTTTCATGTAAAGTTGACAATCCTGGTTTTTTTTTTTCATTAAATGCAAGGCAAAGAGTTGAAGTAAAACTTAGTGGCATTGAAGTTTTGGTCTGAGGGTTAGAAATCAGCTCTGAAGGTTGTCAGGTAGAGGAAGAAAGTGACTTTTATTGAGCCGTGTTGGTTGTGATTTCATATAATTAAATGACTGGGGAAGGGAAAAGTATTTAAAACATGAGGAATCATCAAAAAGAAAATACGTCAAAGGCTAAAGTGAGAGTAAAGGCTAGAGTGACAGTTCTTAATATGTTTTTAAAATTGGTTTTAAGATTTAGGACATCTCTGTAAAATTAAGTTGTCTATTAGGGAGGTTAGTAAATCACATGTAATTGAAAAACATAATCTTGTTCAACACCAGCAAATTCAATGTTCTTCAAAATTTATGACATATTTTCTTTTTACTGCTGGGCAACAAACCAAATGTAGGAATAGATGTGGCTTTCAGGTGAATATATTAATATCATCAAATCAAGGAAACATAGCCTGCAAAATTTAATGAGGAGAACCAAGACTCTTTAAAGGCATATGTCGTGCAAGTTCTGTGGTTAGATTTGAAAATGATCAGATGGAGGCATTTGTAGTTGCTGGCTGTGCGATATTTTTTTCAATCTTTATTTGATTTATGTTGCTAAGTTTTGCAAGCAGGCAAAATTCTGAGACCAAACACTTATCAGTTTGATGGTACTCTTCTGCATTTCATAGCAAAATTATCATAGGTACAAACGCTATGCACAAAATGTTGTTGTTGAACTTGAGATAGACTGCGTTTGAAATAGACTGTTGTTTGAACCTGGAATAGGCTGGACTCAGGATATTCCTGCATTCAAATGAGAAGTACCTCTTAAGTGAGAGGTTCCCAACACTTTACATGCTGTATGCAAATTTTGCAACAGAAACTTATTATAAATTCTCCTACATAAAGCAAAATAAACTTAACTTCCTTCACTGCCTGCAACCACAAGGTAAAGACATCTTTTCCTGATGATGCTCATATGTATGAGTGAAGATTTATTAGAGAAATTTGATTTAGGGATTTAGAACTGTAGACAAATCTAAACGTGCTAAATGTTTTAATGTATCGGGCAAATACCTAGCTTTTCTTTCTCTGTAGAAACTAACTGAATAACTGAAAACTAATGATTATACATGAACCGTAAAGAAGGTATTTACATTAATATTCTAAGAACCATACAATGGTAAAGCTTCACCATGGGCAAAGTTCAGAAATAGCTTTTGGTTTTCATCCATTCTTCTATTTCATTCACTCATTTCATTCATTCTTCACTTCTTCCTTCATTATAAACATGAATTTCAAGACAGTTTATAACATTTAAATTAATAATGGATACCTTTTCATAATGCACGATGTTTCATTTGCTAGTATGTGATTGAAGGGAAAACTAACAATAGTGTTGTTGAATGCTCTCCAGATCATAATTAAGAAAAGTGATAGTTAGTAACCAAAGTCTTAATTGTTTACTTATAGGTCGAGAATACTACACATTTTGTTGTGGGTTCACAATAAATTGTGTGTCTACCTGCATCATGTAGGCGTATTGTACTTAGAGAAAACTAAAAAACTCAAACTTGAAGGGTGGTTTTAAATTGTCCCTCACAGGTAGTTGGAATGAATAGGAGAGGTAGATTTTAAAGTATTTTGAAGTGTTTTATGAGCATGTGGTTTATGACAGCTTATTTGGAAGTTCTGCTGGTTAAGTTTCACAAAACATCTTATGGAAGCATTGCTTTTAAAATAAATTATCGTAATAATTCATTGTATGTTTTAGAGAGCACCAAATCAGAATCAATTTTCACAGCTTATATATTTCATGGGTCTTAAAATTAATTACTGAAACTACTCAC